AGTGGGTTACCCAGTGGTGGACAGGATGCAGTGGGTTACCCAGTGGTGGACAGGTGCAGTGGTGTTACCCAAAGGTGAACATGGGTAGTGTGTTACCCAAAGGTAGACATGGGTAGTGTGTTACCCAAAGGTAGACATGGGTAGTGATTTTTAAAGGGAATTGTACAATATCATGGTATAACAATATTTATAAAATAAATGAAATCCCTATTGACGAAAGGAGTGAAACCTCATTCAATACTGCTGAATTTTTGTAGTAAAAATTTAATAAATTTGAAGGTGAATAATTTGTTTTCCAATTTTTTTTTTATCACAAGCATTTCTCAGCTTATCTTCTAAAATTTGTTATAAGGAAATTTAAAATATAACAAATTGATTCAAAAACAATAATGACAGAATGACAAGTTTCTCAACTTTGGACATTATGCTCAGTTGTTGAAGACAAGAGTGCTTCACCTGCTCCTTCTTTATTTAACTTCTGCCACTGAGGAATTTCGTTGCGCTTCTGCTTCAGTCGTTGTCTTTCTTCCACTTGTTTCTTTCTTTGGTACAACACAACAATGAGCACAAGCATGAAAAGACAACCAGCGCCTAAGATGGCAGCTGCAAGTCCCGACCCACTACTGGTAGTATTTTCATGACCAATAGATTGTGGAATTTCTTGCACATTAAACAACGTCTCATCATGTGCTGTAACAGAAAAGTTGAAAACATAAGGAACTGAACACAGTTGTGAAAGTAATCCTGAGATGCATTTTAGCATCATTAGATTTTAATCTTTTCACCACAAATTCACAAAATAGTCTTTTTTTATAAAAAAAATACCACTTTTTTTGAGTAAATGCCGAAAATCGACTAAAATTTTGTCCGTTAGCTCCAAAATTAGGGCTCATTTCCAGAAATAGTGAAGAACATACGGGAAAAGTGCAGGAAAATTTGGGTGAAAAAGTCTGAAAAGGTTAACTTTCATCAATGTTTTTTTTTGCTAAATATCTAAATTATTAAATTAAGCACAAATTTTGTTACTGGGTTTTAATTTAGCTGTCAGAAAATAGTAAAAACCAAATCACACAGCAAATAATTAAGCCAAATAGAGTACCTTCTTTTGTATTTAGGCATTATTTATACTTCAACCAACCTACTAACTAGCAGTTACTAGCAACCATTTACTTAAATCCTAACACCCTCGTCACTAACAACCCATTTACTTAAATCCTAATATCCTAGTTACTAGCAACCATTTACTTAAATCCTAGTTACTGATGCTTACAGTTACGAGGTTCATGTGGTCTTTCTGCAGGATCTTTTTCATTTGTCGTCACCGAGTCTCTATGGTGACGATTTGTCTCCTCATCAAGTGGCAAATCTTCTTCAAAGTAGTCTTTAAGTTCACCATTAAGAAGGTTGGCATCAAAAAGGGACTCAGATTTGCTTTTAGTTTTCATAATTTCATTCATTGCAGTCACTGATTTTACAGTAGTAGTTTTAACTGAAAGAAAAACAATTAACATTGCCATCAATCAGACTTTCCTATTGGCTGCAGATTAATTAATCAAATAATATGAAAAAGCACATATTTTTGTAATTACCTTGGTTCTGTAAAGCTGCATACATCAGTGTATTCACCTTGGGTGGCAGGACATGTGATTTTGGTGTTGTGACATCAGTAACACAGACGGTGTCTTTGAAACGACTACCAAGTTGAAGTGTTGTCAGACCTTTCTCATGACAATTAGTCAATAGTTTGCATGTCTGTATGGCAGATAACTCCTCAGAATATGTGCCTTCCTTACAACGCTCACATACTGTATTCAACAACCTGCTTCCTGTGTGTACAAATTACATTGATTCAATAACACTCTTACAAATTAATTGTAGAAAACATACAAATGTAGATTATAAGATAGCATAATATGATAGAATTTTCACAAGTAATGCAGTGCACCCAGCAGCTTTATTTTATCAAGTGAAAATACAGCACTGATACACTGCAAAAACAATTACCAGTAGACATACATGTTACTGTACTTGCAAAATATCAAGTTGATCAGTTAAATCACTCACAAATACACAATATTCAGGGATGAGAATGAGAATTTTCAGCTGAAAGTAAAGTAGCCGGGGTCCGAACCTTCACCCCAGTTAGGTTGTAAAATCTGAAAACAAATTTTAGCCCACTGTTTCCATGGCAACAGCCAAAAATACCTTCGCGGCAATTATTTCACCCTACAATTCTAGTATTAAAATGCACGGACATACAGCTCATTCTACTCAGCTTGAGTGTGGGCAAACATTTACTGTATATTTTCATTACAGAGAAAATTGACCTCAAAGTTTGGGAAACTTCACCAGAAACGGCTTTTAACTCCTCTGTGATTTATTTGGCTTGACTGATTTTGTTGATACTCACAACTGCCATGATAGCAGCTGATTTTTGAATACTTTCGCCCCAAATTCATTACCTCCTACCAGTCTTGTAATAGCAGTGTTCAAATGATCATGCTTTTTACTTTGGCTACGTTGGGCACTGGTAAGGAATCACCGGCGCCTACATTGTTACACTGTATCGACATAATCCCAACGCAACTTTGAACTCTGAATGAACTGTAAATGCTGCCTTCATTCTAGAAAATACTATCGCAAAACGGTTGGAAATAATAAATGAAACAGCAGAATACGTCCTAGTAATAAAGTAAAGTGACTTCTAAAAGACTGAATGTGCGTTTTTTTTGTTGTTTTTTTATATTTAAGTTAATTTTATTTTTTTCAAAACAACAAATACACAGACAAGAAAAGAAAAAGAATAAAAGAAAAAAGCTTTACACACTAACCGGTTCACCACCAAGTGACATTGTCTTATGGTGCAAAATTGGCCCATTTTTCTAGAAACAGAAACGTGATGTTTCTTCTTATGGAAATCATATTTTCTATCTTTCTTATATAACTAATTTCAGCTTTAATGACAACAAAGGATGGTAATTCTTTCTTCATTTTGCTTGTATAGATGCATTTTTTAAAGATAATAGTTAAATGGTTCAAAAGGTGCGAAAAACTTTCATCACCTAGAGAATCTGTTTTGCTGAAAGTGGCTGGGGGCACTGAAAAAGTTGACCCCATTGATCATAAAACCTTGTCCAAATATCTTGCACCACATGACAGTCACGAAAGAGATGAATCAGAGTTTCACTAAAGTTATGGCAAAATGTACACATGTCAGAAATAACTAAAGGTGATTGAAAGTGATATAGCATAGCATTTGTGTACAGGATGCTATGGTTTAATTTCCATTGAAATTCACAAAGAGCACTGCAAACTGTAACAAGAAATGGCATTGAATAGAAAAAATCCCATCCAGTTTCTACCCCCAACCCCTGAATGTTTTTTTCTGCAAACTTCGTATACAGGCTTGTTCAGTTACCACTTTATTTTTCTTCCCGATTCGCACGGTCAAAGTCACTTTCTTGTCAAGCCATGGCCCTGGGCCATGCCCAACGAAATTTTTTCCTAATGTTTTTATCGATCTCTCACACAGCTGACCTGTTGTCTTTTAACCAATTTCACCATTATCGCTGCATGAATCTTGTAAATAACGATCCAACGCAGCTAACAATCAAAGAAAGCTTAGAAAGAACTCCCGTGTGCTGAGCGTATTGGAGACACATTAAAAATTAATTCAAAATTACTTGAACTTGAGATATTGATGGAAATGCAGAAAACTAATTATGCAAATAAGGTAACTAATATGAACACATTTAAGTGTAAAACTAATAAGGTCTGCGCAATGTAAAAGTAATAAGATCTGCGTAATGTAATATCTATGTACCAAGTTTCATTGAAATGTGATTAGAACCAAAAAATTATTAATTATTGTGCTAATTAAGAGAATTAATATGAACAGATTTTAACCCAAAATTAATCAGGCTGTCTATTGTCCTAGAGCATTTATGTACCAAGTTTTATTCAAATGTGATGATCAATACTTGAGATATCAGTATTAATTAATTAATTATGTTAATTAGGTGATTAAGAAGCATAAATATTTACCAAAACTAATATGGTGTATAGTCCTACACATGTAGGTTCATTGAAATGTGATGAGCACTCTTTAAAAGTTTCATTAAAATTTTTAAAACTAGCGCCGAAGGC